ATATATATATATATATATATATATATATAATTTTCTATAACTTATTCCACACATTCTGGAATGTAGCATCGGCTAGAAGGTAGGCCTGCTCTCTAGCCAGCCATCTAGAATAGTGTTATTTAGTGCTTGGATACTTTTATATTTCTAAGAGGACTAGATTTCACAAAGAAAGATACACATAGAGCTAGGTGCCAGGTTTGAAAGATAAGCTCTAGATAACGCGTAGAAAAACTGGCTTGCATCTAGACTATTCCGAGTAGGAATTTCCATACGGATAAAACTATTGCACATACTATATTGCACATTGATTAAAATCGAACGATGAAAACTATTTGAAAGAATTTTGTACAAAAAAGTTTGACTAGAAAACCTAACAGAGACTGGCTAAAAGCCCATTAGAAACGCTCAAAACTAGTTTTACTGCCGAGTTACTGGCGAAGCAAGTATTGCTCAAACTGACCAGGAACGAGCCAGTAATCAGAATTCCTGGCCAATTAGTAGCTAAAAACTAGCCTAGGTTCTACTTGGGTCGTTAACACGTCGATAGTTTCGCGCGAACAAATTACTGTTCTATAGACAATCGAACACAAAGAATACAAATACAAAATAAAGAGTCGAAGGAGGAGCGGCGAGATTTCCGGAGATCAGTCGCGTGTAATTCCCGTCGTAAAGTTTGCCGAATCTTTCGTACGATTTGTAGCTTCAGTTTAGTGATGGGGGTTTAGTGGGGTCATCTACTTTCCTCATGAATCCATTCTACCTGCGTTTTTGCCATCTTCCGCGATCGTAAAAGCGGTATTTGATCACGAGCTCGTGAGAGTGACCGTGCTCGTCGCACGGAAACTCGGATCGCCACGGTTCGGAATTCTCGTCGGTCACTAGATATTATCGGACGATCCATTCTCGTAGGATTTCTGTAACCAATTCCGCCGATCGGTACTTCAGTATCCGCGGCACGTCGCGCGATTAATCGTAATCCACGTGCCGCGGTATAACGTGGAATAACGACGGCCGATCTGTCACTTACAACGTGCACGTTCCAGTGGTTTCATTCTTACGTACAATAGCTCTGCGATACCTTCCTTTTTTTTTTCAACACGCGTCTTCATACGTCGCACGGGAGGCGATCCTATGGGATGTCGAGCGTGAAAACGGAATTGCACACATGCGGACGCGTGAACTTTTTGCAACGGAGAGATTACGCATTGTTGCTACTTCTACCACTTGGTCATGCATGAAGTGACACAGCTGCAACGCAAACATTGAGGAGATTGATTCGTCACCGAAGAGGTGCACGTTCTAGCGAACATCTTTACGTACAATCTCCTCAGCAGCTCGATATATTCGCACAGGATTTAGCTGCAATGCGGTTTTACTTTTCAAGTCGGCTGAATTGTCGTCAAACGCGCGTGGTCAACTTTTCACGATATAAAACTTGAAGAAAAATCGATTCAGCTGAGAGTAACGAATTTGTTTCTCGGCGCGCGCGTTCATTTTCTCAATTACTTATTTACAGTTACTTACTTTTTAATTGTTTATAAGACAAATATTCCGATTAATGAATCCCTCTGAAACGATCTTGACTTCGGCATAGATTATTAAAGTCATTATGTTGTACAATATGTAAAAAAAGTTTTAACTGTCGTACAACGTTCATTAAAAAATTATTGACAAAAAAGTTTTGTAAATAGAATGCACTTTCCTTACACCGCGCACATTTGAGAAGGATGCATGGGGTGCTTCGCTCTTACCGCTCTTAAAAACCTAATTTAACTTAATTCAATCTGTACTACGATAATATTGAAACACATTATCAAGGCAAATCTCCATGTCATTACATCTATAGTGTTGGAAAAAGATGTACAATTTCTATATCTCTTGATAACATATATCAATATCAAAATTATACAGATTAAGTTAGCAAGAGGAATCAAAAGATTCTGAGATTATCATTCCAAGAATGATATAGGAAAATAAGAACCAATAAGAACCAAACATAAGGTATTAGTATGTGAAGAAATTAATGATTTTTACTAAATGAAAAATCAATGAAAACATAAAATGCTTTACTAAATAAAAAATATATGAAAACATAAAATGTTTCATTGATTTTTCACTTAATAAAAATCGTTAATTTCTTTACACACTAACATCTTATATTTGGTTCTTATTGACCCTATATCATTTTTAGATTAAGTTAGGTTAGACACCTGTATAAAGCCAGTCTCTGCTAGTATTCAAACTGAAGTGACAGAATGAAGACTTTAAGAGCCATTCGTGGTTACCTGAAATTTATACTGTAGGAGGATAATAATGTTTGACAATGTCTCTAACGCGTGTGACTGGTATTTCGTGGTCGGTTTTTCCTGGTCTATCATACGCGGCGAATCAGCCTTCCAAACCGACCCTTTATCCCTATTATTATTATTAATACTATTAATATCCATTATATATAAGGTAATTATTTTTTTTTTAATTTGATTTAAATGTTGCGAAAAATATTATCTCAGTCAAAATATTTTTATAGTGTTAATAAAAAATAATTGTGATAAAAGGAGTCGATTAGACGTGGCTTAACTTTAGATTGGATTAAATTTTTTCTGGGAGTATGTGGTGAAAGGCTTCGGTCAAACCATACATATATTTCTTTCTTAAATATACACGTTGTCAAAAAAATACGTTTTATTTATAAAACTTTTCTTGATAATAACTTTTTAATAAACAATAATCGACGGCTGGAACTTTTTATATGTTATTTAACGTAGTTTGATTAGTTAATTTTGATAACATATGTCAAAGTTAGGGTGATTGGATAGGATGTCGTTAATCGTAATATAATATTTATTATATATTGCTAATTTTTTTGTTTGATAAGCGCTTCAAAATTTTCCAGTGCTTCCGTAACATGAAATTGCAATTGTATGCATTTAACTTATTTCTACTGAGTAATGATTAGTAAGTTATTCAGTGGTTATCAAATAGCAACGCAAAGTTTCGCTGTCAAATCGCTCATTCCTTCAGATAAATGGAACATGAACGTTTCAAGCTGTTTGCGAACAATCCAATAAACCGATCCAATTCCTCAGAACTAATCAATTTTGCAACATAGAACACAGAACACAGTAATACTTGTTCACTTAGATCACTGAACACCTTCGGTTCGCCGCAAACCGCGAGGGAAATTGACTGAATACTCGTGCGATGCCAACGTCATGCTCGAGCATATAAACTGTACGGACACGGATGACATTTACACACGCGGCGTACTAGCCATGCAGCAGCACAGTCGTTCATTTAGAGAACTATCTCGCGTGAAATTATTGCGTCTGAGAGAGGCACTTAAACGACCAAGCTACGTTTACGATGACATAAATACTTTCTCGTGATTACAAGGACGGAATCAAGAGGATAAACGGCAACAAGGTAGTACATTTCTGCGATTTTCCCAAGTCACATGAATGTTCAAACGCCTATCACGCATTTCACATAATCCATATTTTATCTTTAAAAAATTAGAAAAAGAAAATCACGGCATCATACGTGATGGATATTTTGTCGACAATAAATTTTGCGACAATTGTTAAGTGACAGTGAACGAGTAATCTATTATTAATTCCTAATCTGGTACATAAAAATCGATTCCATCTGATTTTTAATTTTGAATTACTCGCAAACTAGTGGAAAGAGAACTTTCGGTTTATGCGCTAAAAATAAAGTTATAGTTGATGGGAATATGAGATCTAAACACTGTTGTGCCATTTCAATTACTTATATAAAAAAAGGGCAAAGTTGCCATGGAGGTTGTTTTTGTATACACAATATGTCAGATTAAGAGGTATCAAAATGTAAAATAAAGATAATTTTTCGTTATATTTCGGTTCCCTTTACTAAATATATACATATAAAATAGGATATCTGTTTGTTCGTCTGTCTGTTCACGTTTCCTATGAACTTCTAAATCCTTTGTACGATCTGAACTAAATTTTGTATAATTGTTCTCTAAAGTTCTGCAGAAAATATAGACTATCATGAAAGCTAAATACTCCATCTCCCCCTAATTTCATCCTCTTGATTTAGGTAGAATTCGTTAGGTTCGGCATCGCCTATAATGCCACATTGCGATAGTTGAAGACAGCGTATTATTCTTATGCTCACGTGAGAGCAGCCTTACCTTAGACAGGATTAGCATTCTTAGAAAATAACTCTAAATCGCTGGCGATTGCGGTAAGGCGATTGCGTCTATTTGCAGTTAACGCTTGGCAAGCCCTCTCGAAGCCCTACGAGGGACCGCGAAGATGTAAACGCTTAAAGACGATCGATAGCCGAGATATGAGTGGGCAACAAAGCCGGCACAGAGCCTCCTTACGTCGCGACACGTGCTGCTCACCTCTCGAGACTTAATCGATATCATGAGATTTTCGAAGCGGTGCTTACCCCTGAACAGAGAGCGAGTTGGGAATCCCATCGAGGCTCTCCCTGCTGATGTCGTCGGCCATCGCGACCTTGAGTTGGTGCCCGAAGCTCGCCAAATCCTCCCTGAAGGCTTCACTTCCGGGCGTCAGTGCACCGCTCGTAGGTGGCAAGGGTGTACCATTGCCCTCGTCCCCTTCCACCCCGTCCTCGCCATCTTCCTTGCCTACAAGGACCTCCTCGTCTTCGTTGTAGATCTTGAAGTAGGCGATGGTGAGGTATATCACCGAGATTATGAAAGACGGTATCGGAATCGCCATCGCGTACACAAGGTTCATGTACACCTGAGGGAGCGTTTCAAGGCAGAGGGTTGATATGCGACCAACTCAACTGTTACTCGGTTAAACATCGACATTTGGAGAGAAAATATCGCAACCAGATCGCGGAGCTGATCGAGTCGCGAATTAAAAGTGATTGGTTTGAGTCGCACTTAAGGCTTCTGGGGAGTCGCATCATCCATCTCTTTTTAATGACGTCAGAAGCGAGAAAACGCATGCTAAAAATTCCTGCAAAGTAAATAAACAGATATATCCACAAAACGACATTTGCGATCGATTAAGTACACCTCTAAAATACTCCGTACACTTTCCTTTGTTTTAACAATCAACAGATAATTATAAAATAAATGTGACGTGCAATCGTCTTTTTTAATCTAATTTCCTCATTATCGTGTCATATTAATTTTCCGATTATCTATTGATTTTTAGAATAAAAGGAAAGTGTATGGAGTATTTTAAAGGTGTATTTAATCGATCGCAAATGTCGTTTTGTGAATATATCTGTTTATCTTGACGTATTTTGCAAGAATTTTTAGCATGCGTTTTCTCGCTTCTGACGTCATTAAAAACAGATGGATGATGTGACTCCCCAGGAGCCTTAAGAGGATGCTGGATACCGATGTAATGCAACTTCGTGTCTTGCACTGCTTCTTTAATTTGGTTGTGTAAGCTACAAATATCAATGAATGGCGGAATAATCCGTGTTATATCAAAAATTCTTTTAAATTTATAAAACCTCTTTTTGTTTTTCATGTAACATAGAGTACTTCATATTCATTGACATTTGTGACTATGAGTAACACATGGTTGCCTTTTTCATGTTTAGTACATAACTTCGAAACAGACTATCACGAGAAATACAGCATGTGGATCGTCTCACATATATTATTTTGAATTATTTTACTCGTGATTCTCAATTGTTTATTTGAATTATATATAAACGATACATACTCCAAAATCGTGATCTAGGTTCTTATTTGCCCTATTCTTTTTATTGTTTTTCTTAGAGTTTTCATTATTTATTGACGTTTATACTTTTACTCTGTACAAACATTGTTAACTACATATAACCAAATAGAAAAACAGTGCAAAATATGAAAGCTGTATTATGTCAGTATCTAATGTCAGAAAAAAGGAAAATCTTCTTTGGAAAATATCTTTATTTTTAACATGTTAATCTTTAAATGAGATTACATAGCTAAACAAAAATTAGTTACTCGTAAGAATCTTCAACACGCGAAGAACTCTTGTTCTTATTATTCAAAAATAATTTTTATTAATGAAAAGCACAAAGTATTGGATTGAGAATGTGACATTTTTAAATATATGTTATACCTCAGAGCATTCCCCTTCAAACTAATATATTTAAATTAATAATCATTGTTTCATACATGAACAATGATATCTAATTTCGTTAAGAAAATTTGAAAATCCTGATTTTCAATAATATTATAATTTTATTTGCATATTGTAAGAGTCTCATAAAAAGAAGTATAATATAATTTTGATGTTAACGATATATTCTTCCGATATTTAAAAACATCATATTCTTAATCCAATATTTTGTGCTTAATTATTTTTGAAAGACAAGAATAAGGATGTTTTTTCTTGAATCATATCAAATACATTCGAGTAACTTATCTTTACCTCTAACGCTATGTAATCTCATTTAAAGATTAATGTATCAAAAATTATGAAATTTTCCAAAAAAGAATGTCCATTTTTCCCCCGTACAACATCCATTTAACGCGTCAATTCAATTTACACAACTTATATTATTTTTTCGCTATTGTAAACTGAAGTAGATTTCTCAAGATGACCCGAATATCCCGTATTAAGGCTCCTGGCCCCTCGCATTATCTATCTCTTTTTAATGACGTCGAAACCGAGAAAATGCATGCTAAAAATTCTTGTGAAATACATTGAAATAAAAATATATATAGTCATAAAGTAACACTTACAATCGATTAAACAAATTTGTAAGATATTCCGTACATTCTCCGTTTGCTCTGACAATCAATAATTTATTGTAAATTAATCTGAATAGAAATAGATGAAGAAATAAGTTAAGAAGATGAATTGTATGTTAATTTACGACAAATTATTGATTGTTAGAGCAAAAGGGAAGTGCACGGAATATCTTACAAATTTGTTTAATCGATTGCAAATGTTACTTTATGGATATATATATATTTTTATTTTAACGTATTTTGCAAGAATTTTCAGCATACATTTTCTCGCTCCTAAAATGACGTTACTAAAATGAGATAGACAATACGAGAGGCCAAGAGTCTTAAAATCGCCAACGATCGAAAAATAAGAGAAAATCAGGTGAGGGCTATTATTCGATGGGTAGTGACTCGATGCAGGTCACTACTTACTGGGAACGCACTCGGCAGTACGTAATCAGCGAGTAGGGACCAGCACAGTAAGAGTAGTGAATCATATATGGCGCGCTAACTGGTAGAGATTGGTGCACAATTAGATGTTTTAGGGTAGCCGGTGAGAAGTAATTCGGTATTACTTTTGCGGCCTCTACAATCGTCCGTGAGGAGGAATTGCGAGAAACGCTTCCCCGATGTCATTATAGCGGTCTCACCGTCGAGAAACGCGGCCGGGCTAATCTTCTAAAGCGACCCACCCCCGTAAATTCGGCGGAAGAGCACCCACGAGAGAGCACCCCGGCGCGATGTTATTCGCGCCACACGCGATCCTATTTCTTCCTGTCGTCCATTCGTTCGGTGGATTGGCGCTCGTAGCATCGGAGAGCAGCGGCGGGCTTTTCCGGGATCGTCGATGTTATCGGCGCTTTATAATAGCACCGCCGGCCGCACGCCCGTGTGGAAATTGGATTTCTGCGCGCCGGCAGAAATTTTCTTTTCTTCCGGCGCGCCGCCCCGCGCCACGATGGTTTCCGTCTTTGTCATCGGCCGGCCATTCAGCCGCTTGAAATGCATTGTCCGTTCCGCGCGCGGACGGTCGCATTTCCGTAACGCCGTAACGCTATTTTGCCGCGCCGCGCCGCACCACGGAAAATCCTCCTTCCGCGGTGCGATCGTTTGCATCTTTCGCGTGCAACGGTCATAGCCGAGATCTGTTCTCGGCGTAACTTCCGCAACCTTTGGTTGTCGATGGCGCGGATACGAAGATACGCTCGAAGCATATCGTTACGTTCCCGTTGCCGCGAATAAGCAGAAATCGCTTCTGTGGCAGAGAACGTTCTAACGTCCGATTAAAGACGATTAACCCCTTATTTTGGCATTTGATTAAAATGATCAGATGTCCCAATTTTCCATCTTTTATGCCGGATTTTTCAAATGCTATTCAGGATGCTGATTTATGCCAGATTCGATCAAACTATCTCGATTTGCTCCAGTTTAAAGAGTTCTTACAATTCTTCTGACAAAAATAACAATTTTTCTAAAAAAAGTTTATATCTCTGGTAAAAGTAACACAGCGCTTTGCTTTTTCTTCTTTATTTTAAGTAAAAATAATCAAAGTTTTATCTCTGCAATAGTTTCTATTTTCATTCTATACAGCAGGCTTTCATTGTTGTCAAGTTATTTTTCATATGTCTATAAACAAAATATTGTGTTATATATATATATATATATATATATATATATATATATATATATATATAATTTTAATGATATATATAATGATATATATGTAAATAATTTTTTATTATCTCTAGCCCGCTCCATTCATTTATGAAGTGTTTTAAATTTGAGTCTAGGAGATCTAGTCATCTTATTTAATTGATCTTTGGTTTGACTTCTGCATGGAAAAAAATAATTTTGCTCTTTTAGCAAAATCGTCGTTGCTACTGCATATTCATAGTAACATCAAAAAAATTTTGTTGACGTAACTAATTTTACAAATTATTCATTATCAGAGCAGAAATAATTTCGTTGCCAAGATAGAAAAAATTTGTTGAGTATATTTATCCTAAGAATCACGTTAATTTGCTATTGATGCAAAATAATATATCCTTAGCAAATTTATTTGTTATCGGAGCAAAATTGCAATTGTTTATATAAATCCGTTATGGTTTTTATAGCAAAATAATTTGTAGATTTAGCAAATTATATCCAGCAAATAATGATTAATACTCTTAGCAAATCTTTTTGCTGTCCATATAATAACGAAAAGATTTTGCTAGACCAGCAGAAAATTTGCTGGACCAGCAAATTATTTTGCGTGTGGATTACTATCGTATCCTTCACTCAAAAAAATGTTTTGCTAGTTCAAATAGAATTTCAAATAGAATTCCAAATAGAATTTTAAATATCACAGTTAAAATTTATTGACTTTTTTATATCTATCTTTTATATATCTAATAAAATTGTACGTAAAATTTACAACAGCAGCAGTTTAGTTGTATCTAATTTGCTAATTGTATCTAATTGCTGTAAGCAAATTTAGATTGGTGTAAAAATTATTAGAGTTGGGAAGTAATGCGTTACTTGTAACGTCGTTACCGTTACTAATTTTAAATTTTTTTTATAATAATCATTATTATTTATTATATATACATTATTATAGTATTAACCCTCATCATTAGGAGGGTTTATTTTTTTCCCATCATTAATAATAACCTTATTCAATTGAATAAATAACTTTTTAAAATATTTGACAACTTTTAGAATAAAATGCGATTACATGTTATGAGATTTACGAATTTCTTTTAACTAATATCACCGTAAAATTATTTTTATAATCGTCATTTAAATGATTCCATTAATAAAATACTGGATGACTAGAGAATAGTACTAGAATCTCGTTAAATAGCTGATACTCGAAACTTGTTCCACTCAGATTTGAATTTTCCAGTTGAATCACACGACGCACGTGACGTTACACGTACAATCGCGATTCCACTGAAGAATTCAGATGTCTTTAAACTCGAAGTATCTTCTTTGAGTATCTCGCTTGAGGCAAGTTTCAAGTAACAACTATTAATATGAGACGTGCTTGAAGAGTTTGGCTCGTAAAAGTCAGTCGAACATCTGCGAGACGTGATTCCAACGCAAAGGGTTAACAAAGAAATCTTCCAGGAAGATCGATCTCTGGCGTCTTGCAGAAGCAATTGCGAGACGCTTTTGCGACGTGGAGTCGTGATTAAAGAGGCGGTCGACTTACAAGATTGAATGACACCGTATCCCCCAATTAAGGCCCGATAAGCAAATCTCCGTATCGGGCAAACCTCCCTACTACGATAACTTGTTTAAACGCATATATAAAACGGTTTTGGCTGCATAATACACCCTGTCCCCGATAGGTAGCCGCAGTATCGATTCTCAAGTGCGCGTTCGTTCGTTCCCGGCGTAAACTCGGGCAAAAGTCACACACAGCACTTTCGCGTGACTCGCACATACCGATATACGGGGGCAAATCGTTAAGTATAACCCGGTCACCAGGTTATAATGCTACGGGAGCTAAAGCCACGTCAATTCGCGACAGATGCCGAAGCGAAGGACGACAGGAATTCATACGATACGAGTTTTGATGGGGAATCCCAAAAGAGGTGATGAAGTGAGAGATGAAATGTGTATATGCGTTTGTGTGTATATAGACGAGAAGGATTCGAGAAGCAGCCCGCGTGGAAAGTATACAGTAGTGTAAGAGACCTGCCACATGTCGAGGTCGCTGATGACTATCCCGGGGTCCACTTTCGAGTAGTAACAGCTAAAGTTCTGCCCTATGTTGGCGTACTGCCGGTAGAAAATACTGCAATTCAGCATTGGAGGGTATCCACAGCCTTTTACGTTGGGGAACAGCTTGGCCCCGGTGAAGTACCACACGGAGTCGTTGCCCATGAGACCTGCGAACTTCCCCTCGTTATTGTTCGGCGACGGACGCCTTCCAGCGAGGGAGAGAACCGGAAGAACAAACCGGACAAACCGGATAAAAGAAAACCGCATATAACGACTCGCGAATGTGGCGCGCGCTTTCTCTCATTCAGTGATAAATCGCCAAGCTTCGCCGGACGGAAAGCAGATAACAGTTATCGCATCCCTCAGACCCGCCAGCTCTGCTGTATCTATTAAGCCCGTATCTGTTGGTAATAACGCTTTCTCTTTTACATGTTGTGAGCTTTGGAATTATTGCGATGCTGCAACATATTTTTCGATGCGCTAAACTGAGCAATATTTGTATAAAATTTTGAGAAGGATATTTACCCATTTAACATTTAAATCGCATGAAATTATAATGATATTAAAGCTGCTGAGCACTCACCGCGGCCATGTTGGATAGTGACGCCAGAGACGAGAAATGATACGCTGAAAATTCTTGTGTGCCACTTTCAAATAAAAGGATATTTGAATAAAAGAACACTTCGGGTCGTTTGAGTATACTTGCAAAATGCTCTGAGAGAAAGCTATTCCTTTCCCTTGACAGTTAATAAACAGCCGTAAAAAAGAAGAAGTAAAGAAGAAAGTTGCCTATCATGTTAATTTTACGGCTATTTATCGACTGTCAAAGGAAAAGGATAGTTTTCGTAGTATTTTACAAGTATGCTCAAATGTTCATCTCAAGTAACCTTTCAAATATTTTAAAGCAGCGTGCAAGAATTTTGGTCATTCATTTTCTCGCTTCTGACGCCATCAATCGAGAATTTCGCTTGCGAAGGGGATCAGAGGAGCCTTAATTATATCATTGAAAAATTCTTAGCCCGACTGGATCCCGACTGGATAACACAACTGGAGAACAGGACTTGTATTGTGTCAGAGGATTCACATTTACGCTACATGACGTTGTCAGATACGCGAGATACCAATTAAACAGAATTACAACGGGCTGTATTTCCTAACTGGCTACGTAATCACTCTTGAGAAACTGACACGAGCGAAGTAGAGCCAGACGGCGGACAGGGGATCACATTGCGAAGCAATTATCTCTCGGTTCTCGAATCCACGGCGGTCACATCTTTGTACCTGTAGGGTAAGGTTTCGGCAGTCCGGTCTCGTCTTCCTCATCGAAGTCCTCTTCGAGGCCCTCGACGTACTCGCCGAAGTTCCCTAAGGAACGCTCGTAACGCGGCATCCTCTTGCTCTCTTCGTCATCCTCGACACCTCCCGCCGCTCCACCTTCCTCATCCGGCCCTTCGGACACGTTACCCGGTAGCTTATAGTTGACGCGTATTTGCGTGCAATCGTACAGCTCCTTAGTACAACCCTCTCTACAGGATGTCCATGAGCAATTGCTCGCACCTGGACTCAACGATCATTCATGGAATTCGGCCGCGAACTTTAATTCAAGCGCAACACGGATATACACCGAACACCCACGCACACGTGACACATAGAAGTATCTTAAAAAACACCCACCCACATACATACACATACATACATACATACATAGATAGCAAGTATGACCATACACACATCAAGACGTAAGAGTTGATTGAGAGTTGAACGTGAACACAGTTATAGAAGAAGTGAGTACACATTGATAATTGATAATTATATAAAAAGCGAGTGGGAAGATTTATACAAAAGCTCTCTCGTGAAACTCGAGCTTAAGACTTGCGACTGTCAACAACTATTCATGACTCAACGGAGAAGTATTCAAGTTTTCGTCTAATTATTAGTTTATTCTTTCATTTTTCTTTTTTTTTTTTAGAAATCCCTAGCTGTTAGCTATTGTTTTCTTTTTTGAAGGTTTTCAAGGAATATCTCGAAGAATCATCATATACGAACGTGAACATTCAAATGAGGAAACAACGTCAGTAGTTCAAAACATCGACAACTCGGGCACAACGCAAGGTAAGAGAGGGCGGACCACGCGTGACACAAAGGAAAGAAACGTCCATGCACACGGAATGAAGAGCAGAGATACGACCGCAGTGAAGACACTGAAGTAAAGAATCGAATCACCCGAGGTATTTTGCGTCGTGATGTAATTCGCAACGATGTTGACACGAGACTCCACTGTGATGCTCGATCGTGGACAACATCTGCATCCTATTGACACTCGGGAAGAGAGGAGAATCGAGGTGGCACGAGAAGATTCGAATAAGTGCAAGTCGCGGAAGCACTAAGACCACAAAGACACCAGTTGCATCGATCTTATCTCGACCCGCTGCACCGTCTTCCTCGACTAGCGATGATCGATTCGACTTTCGACATTTTCGCGTTTTCCTATTTTGTGTCGCGACATAAAACCGTCGCCATGAACATTATTTAAGGAGGCTATGAGGCTCAGTGTCGTATTTTCAGAAGCGTATCAGGGGGACCACTTACAAACTTACTATCCATCGAACAGAATTACGTTCGATTTCATATCATCATCTAACAAGGAAATTCACACAAGTGTCCGCCTCCGATTTTCATAAACTTGTGATATGTTGTGCTGTAGATCAAAATAACAGATACATTTTTATTGTGTGCTCTTTCTCAAGTTTAGAGGATGAAATATCCCTTTGAAGAAAATCGTTTTTTTTTTATTCGAAGGGAATATAATGAAAACTATAAGAGATAAAAAAAATATTTTGAATAAAAGTTGAATGGTTTGAAGAGTACAGAAATTATTTGAAAAAAAATTTTTTTTTTATTAATATTTCCCCTTCTACTTCTTCTTATTATAATTATTAAAATAATTTCTGTAAAGTACTCTTCAAACCATTTAACTTTTATTCAAAATATTTTTTTCTATCTCTTATAGTTTTCACTATATTTCCTTCGAATGAAAAAAAACCGATTTTCTTCAAAGAGCTATTTCACCTCCTAAACTTGCGAAAGGGCACATATAATAAAAAACGTATCTGTTTTGGATCTTTTATTCTTTTCGATCTGTTATTTTCTATATCTTATTTCTATATCTATTATTTTTGTATCTTTTTGATCTGTTATTTTTATCTAAAGTACAACATATTACAAGTTTATGAAAATCGGAGGCGAACACTTGTGTGGGTTTCCTTGTAAGTAATAAATGTTAATTTGAAACAAAGTTGAGATAGATATACAGGGTGTCACTGATCATCATTTTCAAACTTAAAGCAGCTTGAGGTAAACATAAAAGTCTCACACTGTTTTGCGATATTCGTAATAAATCTCGAGATATTAATTAAAGAAAATTAGTGAATGATCACGCGCGATATGAGCTGTAGTGGTGATGTTTGCTGTTGTGTACATTAGGTCAAACTGAACGAAAAAACCTTTTATTATTTTGCAAATAACCACATAGATTTTTAATTATTCATGAAAGAAAATTGTTGTGCGCGATAACGCACAAATTTTAATTAATGTCTAAAAATCTATGTAGTTATTCGCAAAATGTGTAGGACATTTTTGTTCAGTTTGACCCAATGTATAAATATACAATGGTAGACGGTGCTACTGCAGTTCATCTACCATATCGCACATGATTAATCTTCTTTAATTGATATCTCGAGATTTATTACGAATATCGCGAAACGGTATTAACTTTTATATTGCAAACGATAACAGACTTTTATGTTCATCTCCGTTTTATGCTCTCATGAAATTTGAAAGAATGGTGATCTGGGATACCGTGTATATACACAATATTACAAGTAAAATATTGTTCTTTCATTTTTCTTATCAATGCTTTATTTGTATATCCGTTGAACTAATAGAAATGCACGAGTAATAAAAAGAAGTATATAAGATATGCTTAAATACGTATATACGTGTCTTTAGATTATTATAAACTTCTCACCGTTATATTTTTCAAACAAAATAACCAATAATTCTGGAATTTCTGTAGGAGAAGATGCTGTATCTTAATGCTGGATTTATTGTACCTTTGATCCATATTGATTTCAGCGCTAGTGATTTTTTCGCTTTGCTAATGTGATAATTCATTATGTTTATCAGCAGAGTTTTTACCTATGGAAGTTATAGCCATGTATTTTTCTATGTACCTCCTGCCCTTCAGTATTACTAGTTGAATCAAAATAACTAAAAGTAGAAATGTCAGAAAAGGTTCAAGGTACAGCACCTTTCCCTATAATGTCAGTATGTTAGTTTTTAATATCATAGAATTTTTTTTATTAAAACTTATAATTTTAGTTTATAATAAACTTAAAAAAATATGTCAACTCCAAAGGTCTAAAAAATGTCAACGTTGGTTTAAAAATTAACTATCTAACTAAATATCTCAATTCTCGAATTGGACCTTTTTCTGGTTGGATGGGCAGTTAGATAATATTTCATTTATACATGTAATGCAAGTTTCAATGAATTCTTAAGAAACTCATTTTGCCTTACAACCTCCTTAAAATATTTGAGATCCTATCGATGCTCTCCTTGATTCTGTTCTCAGGAAGAGACGGGGAATCAATTAAATTCCGATCGACTCTCACGAGAACAGTAAAAGCGAATAATAATGTCCAATATTGAAAAAAAAGGAAAAGAATGTTGTTGGTTCTCTTGACGGGCGCCCTCAGAATCGAAACGAGAAGCGAAACGCGAAACGTCGCTCCATTTTCGAGCATATAAAAGCGAATGTTTTCCGTGCGTTTCATGTCGCGATCGTGATATCCATCCAACAGCAAATTAAAATTTATAAGATAGTATTAAACTTTTATGTTACGTGCTCCCATATGTGCGGACGGCACGACATGAAAGCCAAATGCGTGCCATCGGAGAATAAAAAATTCATAGACTTTTTTGTTACAAACTCCGTGGAATTTATTATGCTGCGGGGTGGGTGAGTTGAGAGGTGAAACATTCCCCACGTGACGAATGACGGACGAAGCAATCACGACGAGATAACTTTCTTTAATTTTTTAAATTTTTTAACGAGAGCAAGACGCGATGGGTCTTTCGTGATCCAACTTGATATTTCTGGGACTTTATCAATAACAAATGAAAACAGACATGCACTTTTATGTACAGACTATATAATGACATGTTGAATATTAAATTAAACACGAGAATGTCAGCTGTCCCGCGCTGGTGTTCTTCGTCACCACTTTTGTTCGATCTGCAAATAGCCTTTCCAATCATTCATGAAAATCGTATATTTTGACGTTGACCTAATTCTGTACGTCGGAATTAACGTCAGTTCCTGTTGTCCGCCTCTATTATTATCTTCGCCATTTTTTGATACTATCGCGAAGTTTATACTACGATACACAGATATCCTTTAGGAAAGAGAATGCCATTTTTTTCCAACGATACGATTTACATTTCCTTTCATAAAATCGCAAATACTCCTCTCTTCTTTACTGGGAGAAATTAAACGCAATTTGCGAGCGCGATCCTTTTCTGCAACGTCGAAAGGAACCCTTCGTCACACACACACAAGCACAAATCGTAGTATACATTCGTACCGGGGGATACACATGCGCCAACATATACAAACACAGAAAAATGAAAAATGCGTCGGGTCACGCCGCTAATTGAGCGTGAAGAAAGAAGAATCTCCAAGATGCAGAGAGAAGAATAGAGAGAAGGGCAAAGAGAAAAAAAGAGAGAGAGAGAGAGAGAGAGCACACACAGTGGTGTACACATCAGCAACGAAGCATGCAACCACGAGCGACGACGAGAGAGAGAGAATGGGTGAGAATTAAGGGTGCCGATTGTTCACCTCTTCTGGACTCAACGTCGATGGTGACGCACAAGGCGGGTCGAGTGTCAAACTGCATGAAGATGGTGGTGAAGGCGGGGTCGATAACGAAGGGGACCAAGAAGAGGAAGGCGAAGAGACTGAAGGTGCTGAGGAGGATGAAGAACGCGGTCGTGTAGAACAGCAGCTTCTGCATGAACGTCTGCTTCTCCTTTTCGTCCGCCATCTCGGAGAACAAACGGCAGTGCTGGTTTCGTGGAGGCTCCTGAGCGACGTCGTGGTCGTCGTCGGCGTCGTTGTCGTCGTCGTCGTCGTCGTCGTCCTCGGCGTGCTCGCTGCTCGTCGTCACGTCGGACGTCGAAGAGACGGAACGATCTGCGGGCAAGTCTTGAGTGTTTGTCTTCCGTTTCCGCGGGAGGATCCATGTCGAGCTTTCTTTGTGTGTGTGTGTGTTGTGCGCGCGCGCTTTCACCAGGAAAGACCCCGCGGAAAGTCACGGCACACCCGAGATGATCCCTGTCACGGGGATTCCCGAGGGATAGTATGCACTGGAATGCTCCCGCCAGAAGCGACGCTCTTTGTAGGCATTGTGTAACGAGGGCCATTTATCTTGATCGCCCTTAAGCGACGTACGCCGTATCGATTAAACATTTTTCCTTTGCGGTTGTGCATTCGGCCGCATGATAAAAGAGCACGAGTTTTAATAATGCCGGTAGATTGTATGCGCGCGTACGTATGTATACATGGTGTTGTTTCAGCGCCTCCGCGGCTAGACAAGCTAGGCGCACGTGCATGGATCGAATGACAGTGGAGATAGGCAAAATCAATACTGTCGGCAATGCGTGCAATGTGTAACCTTTTTTCCTTTTGTTGTATTTACCAACCGGATTAGTTAGTCGTGTGATATTCAATTCTGATCCCTTTTTCTTCCTAATTGGGGGTAGATTCGACTCGATACGACCTGAGGGTTAATCGTGAATCCTTTTCCCTGGTGTGAATTCGTGAAAAGTAAGAAATCTAATCTTGAAAATATACGAAAACGTCCACTTTTCACGAATTTACGTTGGAGGGAAGGATTTACAATCATCTCCAAGTACTGCAAAATTATTCACTTCACATGATTTCATATTAACCCTACAGTATGGGGTCTTTAAGAGAATATTATATCCAAAATAGTCTTTTCTTATATTTTACATGAATCTAAAAACCTAATTAAACAAAGAAAATATTTAAGTTCTCAACATAAAAGATATAAAATAATTTTTTATATCGGGATCTCTCAAGATATGCGTCGACTCGTGTTCGAAAAGTAGCGCGACGACTGTAGGGTTAAAGGGAAAAATTGCATGACTGACAAGTAAGATCGAGTTCATGTGAAAAAATTCATGCTCCGATGACGAAAGAGGTCCGACCTGCATAAATATTTGATCCAAAAGTAGGTTATCCGGTTTATCCGTTTGAAATAAGCATACTACTTAAAGCCGTTAAAAACGGACGTTTCAGATATTCATGACTCGCCGGTTCCGCGCGGTCTAATGACTTTATACAGCGGCTGTAAATACGTAAAGGTTATTGTAGGAAGCAACATGTGAAACTACTACTTTTTGTTTACACGTTCCCAACTTGGTCTACAACGACGGCACCGTCCACTTTCGGCACAATGACGCGATCGTTTGATTCTCGTTATAGATAAACGAGGAGAACAATACTCATTCAAAACCTAGTCGTATAAATCGATCTCCGTCATATTTGCGCAGCGAATAGACGGCTCCTTACTTTGATAATTGTATTGTCGATTCCTCTCATTAGGGGTTTATTCATCTAAACCAAAAAATGTCTAAAATTATATAAAAATTTAAAATAACACCGATAAACCGCATTCGTGATTAAAGCTTGGTACGATTTGTTATTCGTGAGAAAGTTAATATTGAATGTTGCAATGTTGCACGTGTAATCGATAAGAAAGAATATAAATGACTGTTCCAGTATAACTTTGTAAACAATAATAGAATTCAAATAAAAAATTTATCATTATAAATGTTACGTATTGAAAAACGTGGCATAAAAGAAAGAACAGTATTCACTATATTGTTTTTGTACAATGGTCGATTGTAAGCTCAACTGTTGTTTTATGCTTCGTGCAGCATTGTACTAATAAGGAAAGGTACCTTGCTATCCTATTTCGATTTGGGTACCTTCGATATGTTACAGTGTATGGAAAAATAACACGTACATATTTTTTTTATCGGCAGGGGGGGTGTAATCAACTTATTTTATAGTTTCCTATAGAAGGCGTTATCCGATTTGAATGAAACAAATGCCAAAATATTTTTTTTTATGAGGGTTGCAAGATATATTTTATGCAAGATTATTATTGTGTGCTTATTATTGTATGATTTTTAGAAAAGTTTTAATGTTTGATATAGGTGGTTTATTTCCCTACAATTAACAAGAAATCTTCTATAAAATTGATCTTATAATCTTCAAGCAGCAAAGTATTTTCTTTGTGAGTAAAACATGGCAAGATAGTGTAATGAAATTAGCTTCAAGACAATATTTATTATTTAAATAGTGAAATAAATATATAAAAACGCAATTTTGTTCGATAGTGAATTTATGAATACCTTTCTTAATGCGCCACTCAATATACCTCTTGGGCGCCCCTTCGAAATATATACCTGATGAATAAACTTCTTAAATTTCGCTCGATTCTTATATTTGTGTCGATCCGTAACAAAGATCCAGGAGACTAAATCCGTACTCATTAAAATCCGCGGAAGCCTTTCGTATCAAGGTCGCTCATTAAATCGCTCGTTCGTCAAAGAGGGATTCATTCATGCGGCACAATTTTTGTGCCGGATTTATCGACGTCTCGGAGCGGAACGAAACGATACGAAGCGATCATTGTCAAGGTTGGTGAGTGCTTCAAAACGCAAAATGTCGCTTTATGTTATTATGTTTTATTAATATAGATTGCTGTCGCCGTTTGTGGATATGTGTGTGCGTGTGTAAATGTGTGTGCGTCGCACGAGGGTCGATAAAGATGAAACTTATACAGAGCTTTAAGCAAGCTTATGTGAGTTCACGTGGAGTCGTTTAATCGAAGAGATTACGGACTCTACATAGTGTTCTTTGTGTCAGAGCTCGAAAATAAGCGCTTATCTACGCAGTTGATATGTTCTCTGTTATTAACAGTATATTATTATGATTATTATTATAGAATTAATTAGAAGCTTTAAAAGTTCAGAAATAGCGGCCAATGAAAGAAGTCTTACACATTATAATAGACAAGACAGGATTTGTGTCTTTGAAACTTGATTAAAAATAACGTAATTTAAGTAATGAATTATTGCTAGCAATTTCAATATTGCCGTCATCTTGTGCCATTTATGAGTTCAATAATTAATCTACGCCAACTTGCGCGATATTATTTGTGACCGCCAAAATTTAGCAACTGCTATTTATCCCCGCAAATTTATTGCTACGTTTACTGTTTCATTGTTCTTTCTCGTCGAAGCTCGAAGAACTCTTAATCTCCCAACTTTTAATTCAAAATAAAGACTACACATTTACGGCGTGCACAAAAGTTGCCTATAGTGGACAACTTTTCCTTGTACCCGTTGCACTTCTAATGCATGATTTATGTCGCGGGTTGTAACCTATTCTATACTACGAGCTATCTAACCTTCCCTCGGTCTAATACAATTTTTATATCAAGGGGGTCTGTTATAATAGAAGTCACGATTATTTCAAAGTCATTAACGATTCGTATTGGACTATGAGACTTTGAAAGAGTATCTTATTACAATCACCACAATCTCTCGTCGATTATAATCATAAATATTAAGAAAAAAATAACCCGATTCACACGTACTCTTCAAAAAAACACTCTAATATGAATCATCAACTTTACGAGGAGATTTATTTACGCAGCTATCCCGCTATTCACGTATTGTATTTCCTGAGATTCCTTTAAGGCCGATTGTTCCTCTTGGTAAACTATCTGACAGTTAAATCATATGTCTGTTCTCGTTTTCTCTTGAAATTGGACAAAGATAGATACATGATTTAACTGTCAGGTAGCTTACTAAAAGGTTGGAACAATCGGCCCTTAAAGATATAAGCGTTTATTCGTGCAGTTTGAGCGAGCTTACGCGAAGATAACTTTGTATCACGTTAAGAACCAATCTCGGAAGCATTCGGCATCCAGAGAAATAATCGATAGGAGCAAGTATTCCCCCGCAATCATCGGAATGAAAGTTTCAGATTGACTGTCTCAGGCGTCGACTGGTTCCAGAAGCTCTCCTTTAGTACGGTGCAAACTCACCCCCGCGGAGGCAGAGCATAGTAATCCCGCACGGCGTTCTTCGAGCATTTACTCGCAAATGGGTTTCGCACGGCCCGCAAAAATTTAGACCTTCCTAGGGAAGCCCGATATTCCGCGATATCCCCGAGCCGTTCCATTCCGCCGAGGCGTCTCGAGCGCGCAGCTGGATCTCAGACGATTTCGCGAGCCTCTCGGGCTCGGAATCGGAGCGTGTCACACAGAGAAAGCTCGATCATCCCCCCTCGGGGTCGACACGCGGACGGTACCCCCTATGTAGAAGATGCGAATTCATCAGGGCTCGGCGCCCTCTTCCTGTGTCCCCTCATCGTCATCCACCTCCTGCTGTTCTTCCCGCGTTCCTCGCTCCCCTGCCCTCCTGCCGATCTCTTCGTCTCCTACTTCGCCGCACTATGTCACACTGCTGTCCACCGTGCACATTTGTTCCCGCGATACGCGAACCACTGCGACGCTTTCGTCACGACGCCCTGGCCGCTGCCGAGGGTAGATAAACCGAGAGGGGGTGTGCGAGTGTGTCTGTGCGCGCGTGTGAAAGAGAAAGAGAGATAATGCGAAGGAGAGAAAGAGAGGAGGAGAGAGAGAGAGAGGGAGAGGGAGAGGAGAGAGAGGAAAGAGGGAGAGAGACAAGCAGATAATGTATCGTCCCGCGATTCGTAGATCACGATGGGGTCCGCATAGCGGGCGCCTTCAGCGACGAGCTTCCATCGGTAGCTTTTTTCCGGTAGAGCGAGTTCCGCACATGCAAGCTCTAGTCTTGGCCGCGGCGCCGACGGATGCCGGGCTACTGCAGTCGGTGGAGCTTTCGGGCGAGCTTATTTTCCAGCGACGGCAGCGCCGCGACGGCTTCTCGTGGCATCGACCGCCTCCACCGCCTCCTCCACCGTCGGCGACGACAACGACGATGTCGCTTCACGTCGACGTCCGGGGCGGCCCCCGTAAGCCCCGATCACCTCGCGCGCTTCTTCTTCGAAAAGCGTTCTTCGCCCTTTCCTCCGCGCGATTGCACCGGCGCGCGATTTATTGCTGTTGTTGTCCGCCAGATTGCTCGCTGTTTAGCGATTTATATCACTATAACTGTCCTACGAGCTTTATCCCAAACGATACTTAAGCTATCTCTTCTTCGCATCTTTTTCTTCTTCTTCGCCATGTGTGGTGAATCTCTTTTAGTTTGAGAATGATACCTGGAGATCCTCATTTCTTAATTAAAGAAAAGGGGGCAGGTATACGAAAGTATGATGGGACCCAATATGATGCGGAAGAGAAAGAGAGAGATAATGTTCTCTATAACTGAAAATGTTCGAGTTTCATGCGTGCGTTGTACTGTGTAATTTGTACATGCATTATCTGCATCCGCGTACAATGATAAACATTAATGCACATATAAAGAGCACGATTCGGGACATTACGTATCTCACTTTTATACAGGTCGGAAACAGTAAATATATTATTTTACCCTCTTGTATTACATTTTGTATTTCTCCGTGTGATATTTTATTTCATTGGAATTGTTTTAACCATTTCATTCTCATTGAAATTGTTCTTCGTGTCTCCCATTCCTCTCTTCTCCTCGTCCTCTTCTCTCCGCCTCCTTCTCGTCTTTCACCCCTTCGCTTATTATTTATTCAGCGCGACAAGCAGCTTTCGAGCCGAGAATTTCGAAGGATCGACCATAGATAAGGATAATGAATCGATTGTAATTAAAATTGAGCCGAACGTGGAGGCATCGATCCAGCCTTGTATTTCTGCCTCAACGCTAGGAAATATCAGAGATTCTATTATAGCCGCTCCCCACCGTTATAACCCGCGTGTGCCTTAATCCCGAGTACATTCTTGGAATTGTTTCTCAAAGGATGTGAGAGGAATTTACGTTAAACAACGGCTTGGTATAAGAATCGTGTACACAACATGTAATTCTATTTGTTATCTAATTTATCTCTGTTCTGTTGGAACTTGATCTTACCTATCCTCTAAAACTTCACAAATACTAATATTTGTGATTGTTAAAGCCGTATTTGTACATTGTTTATTCAAGAAATAGATTTAGATCTCAAAAAAACCATTATTTGATTTTGATTAGAATAACGATCACAGAAGAAACGCATCTTCTTTAACGTCTCAAGAAAAATGATTATATATATAATTATATAAAAATATATATGAACTATATATAATTATATATGACTTATATACAAATGATAAACGACAAGAAACATGAATAATTGTGTGGAATACTGTGCGGGGTATAATGGTAAGTACGATTGCAGAGAGAAAGAGAGAGAAGTACATTACTGGTACATTAGGTTAATGTGGCCTTACAGAAAAGTATTATTGGTAAGTCAGTAATAAATTACTATTACTCAGTAGTGAATAATGATTTCGAATAAATTACAATGCTACAGAGTAATTCAGTAATTACGGCGATAATGATAATAGTGCACAAACATATATAATTATGTATGATTATATATGGCCATCTCGCGCCAAATTTCATATCTGATCATTTTTTCATTGAGTTATATTCATTTTTCCTCTGCCTGGTGTCTCTGGCCGATGCTCTCGAAGCATAAGACGGAAACCAATAGGCACTCCTGGTATAGTTAGAGTTTGGAACAGCGACGGCGTGGTTGAAACGAAGTTAAGCCTCTCGCTGAAATTCCGAAGAAGATGCAGAAATTTTCGACAGGTCGCGCTCTCGATATATCGCACGGATACAGGCGACGAAAACTTACTTTAAGCACTCGTTCATTAATTAGCATCTTTCAAGTGCTATTTTCTCAAGTGACGCGAAAGGTTATTATTATTTCTCGAGTGACGTAAGGATCGATTGAACAGCGTCACAATATTCATCTCGCGCTGACAACGAAGAAAACGTCGGTTATCGCGTAATGCAGCTTCCGTCAGTTACGTCACGCTAAATTGTGCAAACGCCATTAAGAAGGATGTCAATCGCGTCGCGGCTTCGATTAACACGAGAAACGCTCGTTTATTGTATATGCCCTTCGATATCTAGCAGCAGCGAAATGTAGGACGCGGGCTTGTATTTCCCTATTATCAAATCGAATTACGTTTAAGTTTAATTAGAGAAATTGGATTTCGCTCGCAAACGGTAAATAAAAGTATCCGCATGGATTACAGGCTCGTGTTACATAGAATAAATATGAACGTATTTCGTTGCTAGAAATTAATATGTTGACACCTCTCTTTTCATTGAACGATAACGTAGTAAAACTTGCAGAATTTTTGGTAACGAAATATAAAGGTATTCTGAGCTTTTTTTTAAACAGATTTATACTGTAATTCTAGACAAAATCGTAAGTCTCGTAACTTGTTCTCTTAAAATTCGTTAAAGAACTTGAATAGATCTTCAATTCTATACGTACCATATGTTGCATAATCACTTATAAATTACGTGAAATCGTAAATATTTTCGAGTGATATACGATACATATAGAATTGTAGGTATACTCATAAGTTCTTACGAATTTTACGAGAGCAAGTTATGAATCTTATGATTCTGTTTAAAATTGCAACATTAATCTGCTGCAATTCGTACAACGTTTATTTTTCTATATTGTTTAGCCTTTTCTATGCAATCGAGGACACCACTAACTGTTTTTATTAAGACAACAAACTACACCTGAGAACAAGTGTACTCGACTCTGAATGCACTATGTGAAGTTAAAGAGTGGCAATGGTTCATTATAACATAAGAGAAGTCCATCTCGTCCACAAATTTATTTTTATCGATTCCGCTGCTTATTGTTCCCGATTAACAAAGTAAACTCTTCAAAGTTTAGTATTCTTGACAACTTTATTTGCTGAGGAAGAAAACATATTATCTTATTGCAAAATATTTGCAAAATTTTGCAAAATACTGCAAAACTTTTAAGCTGCAGATAAAGACTCATTTGGCTAATAGAATTTGTAAAAGCGAACTGAAAAGTCTCAATGATCATTAGTTCGCAAATTAACCGTAATATTTTTTATTTTGCAATCTACTTTTGTAGATTATTTCTTAATCAGATTGTCTTACAGAGCTCGTCCCACAGCCACTGATTTGCTATCTATTTGCACTGCTTGTTTGCAACGTCACTTTGCACGTGACTGATTCCGTGCAGTGGCGTTAAGCCAGTGGTCGAGAGCGTGGATCGAAGCAAACATTGATTTCTTCACTTCTAAACGTCGCAGAATCTTGAAACAAAAATCGTTAAAAGGGTAAATTACCGCACTTCCGATGGTTGTGAAGTCGTTCTTCCTTAAAGTAAAATTAATTAGCAGAAGTAAGTATTGGTCCTTTACCTTGCGAGCGCACAGCACTCGCTAATATCTTGATACTAAAATTTCAAATAAGAGAACGAGTTGGTGTGGAAATGCGAATTAAAAACCTATTTTCTCGATTACCGTCAAACGTCATGACAGATTTAAATATGAGAGCTTGCTGCGCGACTCTCGCGCACATTAGCGACAAAGCCACTTTGTTTCTTCATTCCTTCTGTCGTAACGAGATTAATGGTATACTACAAAGAAAAGGGATGATCTAAAAAAGGTAGCTTAAACTGAAAAGTTAAATGTCTCAGTGAGCTTGTAGAGAGCTATGTAAATATAAAAATAATTAAAATACATCTTTTATCTCTTTCTGTGTGTGTTTAGACTCTATCTTCTTTTTATTGTTTAAGACTCTATCTTCTTTTTATTGTTTAAGACTCTATCTTCTTTTTATTGTTTACACAGCGAAAGCACTCGGGAATTATAGAGACCTGATGTTTTATACAAAGATATTACTGAATACCTTTCTTAGCTATTATAACTTTCAATATCTAATGATCGCAAAAGAGTCAAGAGTAAAGAGTAATAGTTTTAAGGAAATTATGGTATCAAAAGCACCTTTATTATGTTATAATTATTAAAGAGAAATAATTGTTAAGAATTACTAAAGATTATTAAGGAGGAAAGCTTAAGGTGTGTTATCTCCAAATTACTTTGATCTTAAAGATCATCTTCCACGTATTCAACGCTTTCTATGAATGAAAATGTCCACGTGAATCATTCTGCAGGCAATAGTAGTGCCGGCATTGTGTTATCTGTCTTTGTCACCGGTGCGACACGAGGTGTCACAGTGGCATAGTGAAACGGGTTGACCTTAGTGATATAACCGACGGTGGCTCCAAAGATTCGTCCCTCTCGTTGGCGGTCCTGTGGAAAATTGGCCGACAGCCAATGAACCGAAATGTGGGCCAACTTCCTCCGCCGCTGATAATTCCCCCCTCCCTCTCCTCCCGCATGCAGCGTCACATCGGATGCAAATGACACTGCCAGATCCTTGTTAATTGCCAGATTCACACGAATCGATATCGGCTAGACTTTTTATTTCGGCAAGAACAGGCTCGAGGGCCTCCGCGCCGACAGAAGCGCCGACGACGCGTTGATATAGAATCAAGGTAGAGACTTGAAATATAATTACGAAGATATCAAAGAACAGTAAAACTGCAATACAAAGGCATCGCCGTGATAAGTAATTAACGAATTTTATGCGTTCGGCTGTATTCTGAAAAAGAAAAGAAATTGTTGACGTGTTCAATGGTGATTTAAGATGACTGCGCGATTCCTCTTCAAAGCGAGTTTTTTAATAAATATGTCTAGAAAGATTTCTTTTTTCTCACGGAAAAAATTTGATTGTAAGAATCAAATATCTGGTGAAATATATGAATAACGAATTGGAATTCTGGTTGTATGAGGCTACCAGAATTCTGTTCAAGTTAACAAGACTTAAGGTTAACCAAGCAAGATTTATGCTTTTCAGAAAACTTGTTTGGTTAAGCAGAGGTTGCATTCTTGCCGCGTATTCGAACACTTAATACGCTTTTCTGATTTTCAAGCTAAAACAATCTTATACTGAACATTTATGTAAAAAAAACGAAACTTGGAATAAAGATGGCGTTCGAATAAATGTCAAAAATACATCCCCTGAATCTTGTTCACTTGAACAGAATTCTGGCAACTTTAACCGAAATTCTGGTTCGTTCATATTTCATCAGATATTTGATAAATCCAGCCAAAGTTCTTTCCGTGCTTTATTGCTATTTCTTTTGAAAATTTTTGAAAAATAGAATACAAAATATATTCAATTTGTATTTGCTATGAGTTGAGGAAATACAATAGTTTAAGTAGTTCAAAAGAAAATTAATATTTTATCACAAGACTTTTCCAGGCATACCATTTAAGACCCTTTTCATACGCATATCTGCGAGTACGCATTGTGCAATTTACGTTTCAAGATAATGAACGCGTAATAACGAGCACGAAGTGTTGTGAAAATTTCGCTCATTTAGTAAAACGCGGAAACAATAGCCATTACGATTATACGACGAGGGATTTCACGATAATCCCATTTAACGACAACTGTTGTCGGACAACGATAACAGACTCTCGCCTGTAAGTCTCGCATGTTGACTCCCGTGTGATTAATTAGTAAAGATTAATTAGGAACAATCGATACTGTCCTCTTCGCTTGAGATTTTAATTCCAGCGAGTGTATTATGACAACGTTTGTATATGGCAACTCGGCAACTTCGAATAAACGAGAAAATTAAATCAATATTTCTCGAATTGCAATGAAGGACAAGGCGTAAACGAGAAAATGTATCAACACTTCTTGAATTATAATGAAGGATAAGACGTAAGCGAGAAAATGTATCAACACTTCTTGAGTTGTAACGAAAGATAAGATGTATTTTGAATCTATTGCGAAGAATCCGTCAGTATCAATCAGCCCGCCTTTCTCGGCGCCGCGTTTTTGCCACTCGCAAGCTGGGAAGAAGCAAAAGGACGGATTATTGGAGATATTGGAAAGCTGCTTCTATTTATGGCCGCGAATGTGCGCGCACCAGTGGATGCAAATATATTTCTCGACGAGCCCGGTGCAATCTGTACGGCGCGCGATGCAACACTCGTTTGGATCCCTGACTGAATTAACGACGCGCTCGAAATGAATCGCACACACGTGCTGCGTCCGTCGCCTCCTACCCCTCGGCCCGACTGACTCGTGGAGCAGCATACAGAAATCGCAGAAAACACAGCCGGCAATTGTAATTAGGCCATATTGCCAGGACTTCCGCGCGTAACCAGCTCCCGCAAATCGACCTAATTGGCACGGCGAGCGAACGGGCTCGCAATCGTCGCTTGATCAGGCGCCTTTTGACCGACGCGTGGGTGTTCGCCGGTACAAGAGCGCGAACGTGCGTGCTGGCTGGCTGGCTGGCTGGCTGGCTGACTCGTGACGAAACGGCGATGTTGGTAGCAACGCGGGGTATTGATTTTGTGGTACAATACGGCAACTGCGAGGTGGAGCCGCTGCAGCTCCAGTGGCTGTCGCACCGCCATATTTGTTTCCCTCAGCAGGACGGATCAGACTGCGGAAAGCGGATTTTCTGCGGGCTCCATCGGACCGTCGAGTCGTCCCAAGATTACGTAAGTACAGCTCGGAGATCTCGACGCGATCCCCGCGACCGTACGCGCGTCTTCAACCCCTGCGTCAGCCCGTGTAAACGCGCGGGACTCGGAGCGAGTAGCATCCCCTTTGGCGAGCGGCGGCGAGTCCGCGCTCGGGGAAAGCCCGCGTAAACAAGTGTGATAAGTGCTTGACAGGTGGTTGTCACGGCGAAACTACTCCCTCAACTTTCTTTAAGGTGCTTGAGTGTCGTTGCGGGATTAAGCGCGGCTCGTCGCCGCGCGATTGGCACACTCGCGTGCGCCGCGACAGCCCGCGGCGATGTCGCCGGCTGGTCAACCAAGGCCTGCTGCCTGTCCCACATCTTCGACGGCGATCACCGTGACTCGTGTTGATCCCATTAACGGGCCGTCGTGTCGTCGACGTGTCGTGATCTTGACAAAGGTCGTTGGCGACGATTAACGGGGAAACCTGCATGACGTGTGTGCCCTGAACGGATATGATTCACGCGCAGTGACGGAGGACAGACGATGCAACGTGCGTGGGAGGAAGTTAATCCACTCGGTCTCTCTTTGTCTTTTTGGAGGAGTCTAACGTTGGAATGCTGCTGATATTGCGCAGATAGAAGGTCACCAGGTGGACCGTCTTGTCTGATCTACGAAACTTCACCAAGCAACAACAACGAAAACTTTTCGTTTTTTGTAGTGACTATTTCGCTTCTCATGTTCTACGTCGTGGAACTGCTGTAAATTATGAAGGTGAAGTTGGCCGAGTTGCTCGGGAGCCAACGTGAAATCGAGCGTGAAAGCGTATTGTGCCAATCATTGCGCGATCGATCGTTCATTCTTGGCCGCGGCACGTGTCAATCATGCGTGCGGCACCACCTGGTCGGACAAGAATTAAATACGTTTCTGTCTTCTCCCTCGCAAGTGTACTGAACGTCTAGAGTTTCAGTGTCACATGAGAAGAACAGGAGGGAAAAATTCACGCGTCAACGTCGCACATTCTCCTCACCTTAGTGCGCTTGATTCGTAGCGGTTTCGCTGTGGAACGTCTCTGTTATCATTTATTTATCGCCACGTGACGTTCTGTCAGACAGAAGTCATAATGTCTTATGTAGAACAGTGTGGCGTTAGCTGGAAATAGACGGGCGTATCTATATCCTTCGTAATCAGGTGTAAAGCATATCCTGTGATATTGGCAGGGGTGGAACGTGACCGAGTGATAAAGGGTGACGCTTATACTGGTCCACAATAGATTGAAAATACATACGGAAATGTGTTCGTGTCGCGAAAGGTCTTTGCGCTGAATAATTTAAAAGCGGGTGATCGATTCTCAGGTAAGCTGCAGAGACGCGACTATTCTAGTCGACCTCATTTACGATTCGATCGAATAGCACAATTATACTGCATAATTTCGATGCCCGTTTCCATGTTATGTATCTTATGAACGATTATCTTTTTAATTCGTGGCTTCCCGCAGAACGGAGCTTATAACCCGGATTTCCTGTTTTGCGTTACAATGCACGAACCGTGAAATCTTTTAGTCTAAATCTCATTTTTTGTCCAATGACGATCGCGCGATGACGTTCTTTTGCTGAAATCTCTCTGTATGGACAATCGACGGATCGCAGTACACGGAAATTAACGAAGTGTGAACTTCAAACTCGCGATTTGTCAAAGAAACCCCTGGTTATTTCGTGGAAATATATTTCTCAGTTTTTAACGCGAGATGTGTATACAGGTTGATTAAAAAATATTAGTACAAACTTTGGGGGTGAGTTCTTCACATCTAAACAAGAAAAATGTAATATACGCATATGAAATGCCTGATTTATAAGTTATAATCGAAAGATCGCATTCAACGCTGGCAATAAGAGCAACCATATGGTTTATGTATGATGGGGCTCCAGCATTTTTCAGCCGCATTGTTCGAAATGTATTCACTGATAACTATCATGACAAATGGATAGGTGGGGAAGGACCACGACCTACATGTTCGTCTGGCCTAAATCCATTAGATTTTTGTTTGTGGGGACACTTAAAAGCCCTAGTTTATGCAACTGAAATTGCAAATGAAGAGTTGCTTCACCAATGCATTCTAGATGCCTGTGAAAACATTCGTAACCGTCCAGTGCAGGAATTCTGTAACTCGTTATGCAATCGTTTTGTGCTAATAACGACAAGTATAACATATGAAAAGCTGCACACCTGTCGTTATTAGCACATAACGACTGCATAACGAGTAACAGAATCTCGACACTGAGCTCTTTGAAAGGGTCTAACAGTCCATAATACGACGTGTCCATGCATTCAAGTAGGTGGATGACATTTTTGTGAATTGTTAGCAGATAAACAACTGAACTGAAGATTTATTTGGTCATGTATCATTGCAAATGTATCATTGTATCATTGTAAATGTATTCTGTCAGTTTGAAATAAAATATAACATCTGTATTTTTGTCATAGAATGTAATGAATAATTATAATTCATAAATCAGCTATTTTGGGACATATGTGTGACATCTTTTTGTTGTTTAAGTGTGTGGAACTTATCTCCAAAGTTTGTACAAATATTTCTGAATCATCCTATATACATCATATTTCGTAAAAGAGGATACGGATAGGTTCTCTTTAGGGATTCTCTTTAAGGATCGCTGAAAACCCTTCGCTTCATTTTCCGGAAAACCGTGCCTGTTATTTTATAGATCCAATTTTGCTCTACGACGCGGAGAAACGAGTCAGTTACTGCGGAGATCGTGTATTTTCCTGTGCTGATCGATACAAAAAAGTTGATGTTGATACGCGCGCTACATTCGTGTTGCGTGCGCCGATCCCGTAAATGATAGGCGAGAAAGAGAAAGAGAGGTGCGCGTGGGCCGCACGTTTGTGGAAAGCCGCATAAAACGGAGGCGCCACACCGTCTGTGCTTGGCGTTCGATAAAACTACGTTACGTTACGTGCGAACACCGTAAGCCCTATTATTTCTTTCCCTACAACCCTCGCCCTCTCGCTCGCACCTTCTCCGCGTTTCTTCTCTCATTCCCTCTTCTCTCTGCCACGTCCATTCCAGTCGTCCGACTGTCACAAATTGCGAAGGTCATTAGCGAAACTGTGTCACAATGACCGTCGCGGCTCCATTTCGTATAACGAAGCGCAGGAAGAGCGCATCGCGTGATTCCCACCGGGATCTGTCATTACAGAGAGAAATTTCTCTTACATCATCAACAAAAATCAGATAAGTCCTTACGAAAGAGGATCACGGAGAGCAGTGCCGACGACAGAGAAAAGTTAGACAGAGAATTACATTTACGACGGAGGATTGTACATCTTGTCGGGGATAGGAAGTTTTACGAGATTCTCGGAGGAAAAATGTAGACTCCGATATTAGAGAAGATATATATCTCATAAAAGTTTACGACAGGCACAGCCAGTTCTAACGTGTTTCCTCTTCGAGGTAGGCTGCCGGAAATTATTTTCAGGATTGTGATCCATGGGATCGTAAGTACAAGTACAATAATGTCGTTCGTGTGTATCGCTGCACCCTGCCTCTCGTGTCACACAAACGGAAATACAGAAGGGCGGAATAGAAAATGGAAGAAAATGGAAGAAAGTTGCAGCGCGCTGCGGTATCGACGATTATTTGAATCGAGCGAAGTCGCGAACACAAGCGACAAATAATATCGCTCGTGTGTTCTGCCCTCTCGTGTCGCGCACGGAGCCAGAGATACGGAGGGTAGAATAGAAAATAGAAGAAAAAGAAGGAAGTTGCAGTGCTATCGCCGATTATTTTAATCGAGCACATGAAACAGACGGTTGCCGACCTAGTTTCGCCGTTACACCTAGGTCTCTTAGGAACTTTGCATAGGCCGTCATCCGCGACGCGTATACATATAATCCCACATTCATATCGGGCAAACGCAACTGGGGAATTATTCCACTTCGTCCTTCAGCGTACTTCGCTTTAGCCTACTTTAGTCCCGGCTGCGATTTACCCGCTACTGACGCGACACACTTCGCCACTTTCGACGCGAAGCGTCGAAAACGAAGAGGACGACCAACGCTTTCCGTATGATGCCGAACTTCTGTGTTGGCTCGTCCTCAGCTGCTTGATCTTGAACTCTGACGCGAAATCGATTTCAAAATAAAACGTTTCGAGAGACGTCGTCGAACAAACAGCGGCGTCAAGCCGATTAAGAAAATTCGATTCTGAACCTCGCATGTGAGCAATTCGGACGAGATTGAAGCGTTCTATTCTTTGTTAAACCATGAAAAGCTGTATCCCCGATTTTTTCGCATTTGTTTCGCGTTTAAGGGAAGGTTCTAGTTTAGATAGAAAAATAGGAGGTTCTACGAATTTTTTTCAAAGAAATTTATGAAGATAACATAGGATTTTAACTGCACTATTTATCATTGTTTTAAGTATAAGAGAATTATATTTTTCTTTAAAAGAAACAATTGAAATTTCATTGTTCAGATTTTTTGTACTGGATACGATGTTGCCGGACGTTTCTAATTGGTAGAGACCATTGCAGCTTGTAATAATTTGAAATAAATGGAACAAATGGAACAAGAAAATTTAAAAACTGTATTAAATTTTGGAGGATAGACTTTTGTTATATTCAAAAAGTCGAAATTCAACAAAATGCCAGTACTTTGAAGTTACAAGTTTTTCTTCTATCTTACTTTTTTATTTAATGTAAAAAAAGTACTAATTTAAAAAATTTTTCAAAGAATTTAGGTTTATTCTCTCCAGCAAAGAGAGTAGTTAAGCTCTCATAAACTTTTAGCCCCTTCTTGTGGCATTCGAAGTCTTAAATTATTTTTTGATAAAGATGTAACTATTGATGGATAGATTAAAGATATATAAATATCAAAATGATGCGCCTTATCATTTGGGAGAAAATGGCCCAAAAAGATACATATTTTATCAAAAGAAATGGTATCATTAGGACCCTTATCTAATAAATATTATATAATCCATATTTTATTCATAAAGACTTCCATGCCCATTTCTTGCAACACTTTCTATGAGGGTTTCCCGTAAGGGTTTCTAATCATACCATTTATTTCGACAGGATACGTATCTTTTTATATTCTCTCGTAAATTTTGATGCTTATATATCTTTAATCTACCCATGAATAGCTACAATGTTATTAAAAATTAATTTAAGATTTTGCATGCCACAAAATAAGGCTAAACTGGGCCGCACTTTTGAGTAGTTTTTTTTTTAATTTTCTTGTCACATTTGTTTCAGGTTATTATACAAGTTGTGATGATGTTCAACCAGTTAGAAACATCCGGCGACACTGCGCTCAGCACAAAATATTTTGCCAGGATTAATTTTTTTAATTTAATTATTTTTCAATAATTTTATACTGGAAACAATGATAAACAGTACGGTCCGAATCCTATATTGCTATCTTTATGAATAGTTTTAAAAGAAAAAATCGTTAAAAATCCATTTCTCGGCTATCTAAACTAGAACCTCCCCTTGAAGACGCGTCTGGATTTTCGGGGATCAGCAACTTTCGAGGTTACGAATCTGTCGTAACCCGCCATCTCTGGAGATTACCCCGCATCATCCTCCCTCGAGCGTCTTCGGGGTACAGAATGACGTCAACTGCGGTAACGCGCGCGGCGCCGTTGCAGTTTAGCGACGCGCAGCCGCGTAGCGAAGCGATCAATGCGCGTCTTTGCGCGACGGTCCCGTCGGCGCATATTGCACGCGGGCCAAGGCAGAACATGCGCGCGGGTGGACTCGTCCTGCGGTAAAAAGGAGAGATTCCTCGCGTGGAACTCTGACGTGGAGACCGACGATGCAAACGTAAATCGCCCGCGTTCGCGCGTACACTCGGGAGTCCGATAAGTTCGCGACCTGCCAAGAGTTAACGTGAGAATCGCCGCGAAGTGGCCACTTCGAAGGGTGGAGGAAGGTCGAATACCCAGTACCGAGTTCATAGCGTGACGCGGCACGTTACGTTGCTGCGAACAGTTCTCGACACGTCAGTTCCGCAAGATGTAGAAATCAGGAGCGAGCGGGAATCGTCAATCGCGCTTGGCTGTTGGTGGTTGGAACCCCGAGAGCTCCACCCTGATCGGCGAGGCATAGCCGTTATCCTCTGCCTTTCCCTCCGCCCAGAAACAATCACGGTGAGATTCATCGGACGATAGAGTACAGTTTCGGTTTATATAACAGCTCGGAGCAAGTATGATGTGCACGATTTGAAGATTTTTTTACTCGGCGTATCGTTACTCGGCATGTTGGGTAACTCGAGAACGATCTCTCGTAGCTTGGAACGCTGATCACGCTATTGAAGAAGAACCCTGAGCACTTAGAGCCTTACGTGCGGGACGGGGGGAGCTTTGTGATTCATCGACTCACAAACAACGTCGAATTGTACTTTGGAATCGAGTCTTTGGAGCACGAAGTTAGAAGCCAGTAGTATAACAATTACGCTTATATCTGTGTAAGATGAACCAGCGCAGCTAGACGACCGTCTGTTAGTGAGCAATCGAGCAGCAAACCGGCAAGATGCCGAGACCGGTCCCGGTGGAGAATCTGGTGATACCGCCGCAGGATGGCCGCATCTGCGGCACGATCTGCATCTGCCAGATGACGGCGGTGCTGTCGTCGGTCGCGCTGGTCTATCTGACGGTCGCGATCTACATGCCCAGCACACGGGCCTTCAAGTCGGGCATCAGCGAGGTACCTGTGATGTGCACGACGATCCGCGCGGTGAACGCGGACAATTGCGAGTGGGGCAGCTGCGGCGAGTGGTGTCTGTCCAAGACCTCCGGACCGTGCGTGCAAATCCACGTGAGCCTACGCAGGAACGGCTCGACGATCCTGCTAGCGAACTGTACGAACACAACGAACAAAACGTGCTACGGCATCGACCAGGAGAACGCGAAGAAGTCCAAGTGCATCGCGGACGAGTGCCGCAATCTCACCGGCACCTTCAACTGCTCCGCCGGCACCTGCATCAACATCACCGACGCGTTCGAGTGCATGTTCCACGACACAGACCCACCCCTTAAGTGTTCCGGTCGCCGCGGCAAGATCACCTGCATCGACATAGACGGCCTGTTCAACTGCAACCGCGGCACCTGCGAGCGCATCAGGACGCCTTACAACTGCGACCGCAGGTGCGTCGACATTCCGACCAGAAATAAAAACATGATCCTGTTGAGCGGCGACAAAGTATACCTCAGTCAGTGCGAACGGGCGATAGACGTGGAGACCAATCGAGAAATCTGGCACGAGGATCGCGGGGACATTATGATGGCGTCCTGCTACGGGATTTTCAATTCCACCTTAGGTGTGGAGGCAGTCGACTGTATCAACGGCTCAGTGCTTGAGAAGGACCTACTGACCGACCTGACGAATTTCACATACCTGTCCTACCTGAATATATTTGCCACGAAACCGTTGGATGCCGAAAACTTGGTCGCGCCGCCAGAGCAGAGCCTAATCATCGCTAACGAGAGCCGACTGTTGATCAATCTCGAAGGATGCGTCAACACTTTGCGGGACGAGTGCAAGGAATTCCTCCACGAATACGGCAAGGACGGTTCCGATCACAACGCGCGCGCCAGATTTCCGTGTTTCTACGCCGAGGATAAAACAGATGTCGTCGTGTCGCGCTTCGATCTACAAACTACCTACAAGGAGTTCCTGGTCGCGCTACTGTTGCCGAGTATCTTGTTCGTCGTCAGCTGTCTGACTCTGATCTTCTGTCAGAGGACAGTCGTCGTCGGGGACGACGCTAAAATGAGGTTCAAGGGCACGCCCGGCACGCTGGTCTCGATAGAGAAGAGCGCGTCGGGCAACTTAGGAGATGCTGGCGGAGGAGACTCCGTTATGGCGCTCTGAGATCCGTCACGTAAGAGATGTTTCATGTTGGAACGAGATATGGTTGCGTTTTCGAACTTTCGCCGAATGAGAGCTTCCAGGGTTCTGAGTAGTTCTATCGCCGTAATCGGCTCCGTTGAATTGTCAACAATTTTATCTCTCATCTGATTCTGCGTCCTGTGGACTGAAGAATTCATTTCTCATAACCCCGATATCGTCGATATAATTACCTAGAATTCTGTTTCTCTCATTTTTGGTGTCAAAGTTTCAAAGTTCAACTATTTTGCGACCGTCATAGTAGTAGTTATATTTATGTTATTCGACAATTTCTTCGTCAGTTTGTAAATTCTTCTGTTTATAGATCTCTAAGTCACGACTTAAAGTATCTTTGATGCGCGTGTGGAAAGCTTAAATTTAAAATCGTGTAACTTATTTGATTTTTAATATTTTATTATTAAATTTAGTATGACTTTACCTCATATATTAATAAAAATATTGTGCAACTTTAAAAATAAAAAATAAAATAATGGTGGAACAACAGTCGTTTCCGAGAAATCGCTCTTTCTTTATTCGCGGTAGGCCTGATTTTTTAAATAAATTTTCAAACCAAAGTTATTAAAAAGGCGGTTTTTGTAAGATAAACCTTCTTCCAAAGAATTTATTGCCGACTATATATTTTTTTTACATGGCTCAGAAGTTTTTACGGAATATTATTAAAAGATTATCATATATATCACCATGAAAAAAAAATTCGTTTCACGGAATCGGATGCCATAATTTTGTTTTTCGTTTTCCGATTTAGACAATATTTTTATTATTATATAATATAAACTCATGCCTAATTTCATAATAAAATACTAAAAAGCAAAGAGTTACAGAGTTTTAAATTTAAGCTTTCTATGTAAAAGTATTTTATCTCCTTAAATCAAATTGGAATAATATATGAAAGTCTTGTAATTTTAATAAAGTACTTACTTTAATAAAACATTTAATAAAATAGTTGAAGATATAAGATATGTTGAATTACTTTTTCCAATATTGCACTACTCTAAAAATTTCTCTTCTCTTAATCGCAAAAGAGAGAAATAAAGTAACGAGCCTTAAATACGTGTAGAATAACTCAAAATAACAAATACGTATTTTTATAATGTGCTCTAATAAAAATATAGGGATCAATATCACCGATTAATATCACCAATTTTATAACATGCAATTTTGTAACATGAATAATCTTTATAAATGAAAGTTTTATATGATATTAACAAGAATTCATAAGCACATACTTCAATTCTGCGAATTGAGAGTTTAGTGCGCAAATGAATTTAGTTGCAAAGAAATGTTTTTGAACGAAATCACAAACGATGAATTATTTACAAATAACTAAGTGTATGATTTACAAATAACTTTGACCTTTTTAGGAACATATCTACGCCGAAGCCGTAATCATTTTTAGCTGCATAATATTATTCTCTTACTTTGCTATCCGTGGAAATAGCTTGCGTATTCTATCGACGTCATTGAGAGGTCAGTTGAGGGTATCGACTCAGATTCAAAATACATTCGCAGTAAAGCGACGTATGTTGATGTCCATGAATTAAGAGAGACCATACATATACATATATATATATATATATATATATATATATATATATATATATATATATATATATATATATATACAGAGTAACGCATTTTAATCTATAAATAAAAACATTTTTTAAATAACTTAGAAATAAAAAAATTGAACATATAGGTGTTAATAAGGAATTCGAAGAGGTTGTTAGAACATCTAGATGTCATAAGAATAGTGTAACGGGACGCAGAACTCATTGAAAGTTAATTTAAAATCTGAAGTGATTTTATTGATTTATTTTGAAAACTTATTAATAAAACATTACAAGGTATAGTATAAATGAATTCGTCTTCCTACGTTCTTTCATCACGCAGTGAAAAAAGTACTATATTCCATTTAAAAAACAAACATGGCTTGGAGAAATCTCCAACTTTTTCACTTATCAAATTTTTTCTGCGATGTTCTAACGATCCTTTCGAATTCCTTCAACGTCTATATATTCAATTTTTTAGATTCCAAGTTATTTCAAAAATTTTTTATTTATAGATTAAAATGGGTCATTCTGTATATATATGTGTGTGAACTATGCACTATAAAGTATATATTATTTCAAGCATTGGTAGACATAGAAAAGGCACACCTGTGTATTTCTTATTTTAAGCTATTCTACAATCAAAGACAAACCGAGACATCAGCGAACGCGCGATTTCTCTCTAAAGAATTACAACTGTTACTAACAATGTCGCGATACACGATTGCTTTGGTGTTGTGTTAACAGGCATTCCCCTCCTGGAGGAGAGTCCGGCTCGTCAGTCGATATTCTCCCTACGCGGGCATTACTGAGGTGTGGGGAGGGGGGGAACGCGTGATTAAAATTCTCATCTTGCAATTTAACGAGGCAAAACGAACAAAAAATACAAAGCAACACGTATACACTCTTGCAAAAATACCGAGAAAACGAAGCAAAACAGAGCGATTAGACAGCTCGGGGTGTCGTCGAGGTCAAGAAGAATTTATCTACTCGCACTGCCTGCACCAAAATACTCTCCGGAGCATACACACGCATGCTTGTGTGGCATACGAGAGGAAAACGATGTCACGATATCGAACGTAACGATTCAGCACGGCTCTCTCGTTGAAGAGGAGACACAATCGCTCGACGGTGGAGATTTTCCTGAAATTCGGCGTCTCTTTCACACACATATACACAGACACACATACATATGTGACATTCGTAGCTTTTAAGAAGTTCCCCTTTTCTGATTGATTTGCCGTGACCAATAGCTAGGAGTTTATAACAGTGAAGAGGTGCGCCTTGCCGATGGATGATCGACTGGAGACGAGCTCTCGATAGGTTGCCTACGTTCTAACATCGTCGTGACCACGCTCATCGTACATCGGCGAAAGTCAACGGCCTATCCGAACTACTCGAAGATCTTCGTATCAAGAATCCTCAAAGCTTACACTTCGTCAAGTTAACGTAGCCTTCTATTTGTGAATTTCCTGCACTGCACGAGTCTGAATAATTCTCATTTCGGAACAATCGTCAATCGATTATCCCACTTCGTCGGATCACGTCTAGTCCAGTTGCGAAGATTTTTAGATTGATTCTCAGCCGAACCACTCTTCAAGATCACAGATCGCTTGATCGGAATAATTGTTGCGTCGAGGGAGATTCTTACCACTTTCGCTGCAGCCATCCGACGAGAAAGGAACACGTGAATCGAGTGAAGTGACAGCCAATAGTGGGACGCGAGCGTGTCTTGGGGGATTCGAGGTTTAGATCGGCCGCGTGAATCGCGGCTGTCGGTAGCTTGCGAGAACTCTTCAAGTGTCACCAGTAGGACCCTCGTGGTCCACAAACAGCCGCAACTATTGATTCCGACGAGTCAACGGTGATCATGGGGGTGCAGGTGGAGGAGTCCAAGATCGGGGCCATGATAGAGAAGGCCAAGTTCTACACTTCCCTCTGCATGGGCACTACGGCGATCCTCGCGGTCTTCGGTTTCCTGTTCCTGATTCCGTTCGTCGTCGAGCCGGCGATATCCACCATACTGGCGGACTTCTCGCCGCACGCGGTCGCCTGCGTCACGACGGGCCATGTCTACGCAGAGGGGCTGAAGAACTGCTCGTGGGCAAGTTGTAGGGAGGGTGAGCTCCACGACCTTTCTCTCGACTTCTTCCTCCTGACTTCGTGATCGAAATCTAATTTGATTTCACGTCGTTATCGTCGTAGGTTGCACCAGCGCGGCGCTGCGTTGCCATCAGATCAGAGTCAACTACACCAAAATGCCGTTCGAGGAGTTCAAGGCGAAGCAGTTGGAAGACTCGGTGCCGTGGGACGTCACCGAAACCAAGTTCTTCGTGAACACGGAGGGCTGCGGCTATCCACCGGCGGTCAACTGTTCCGCCTTCGCGAAGCAGTACGCCTACAGGAACATGGGGAAGATATTTCCTTGTTACTACAGCAGGACGTATCCGGAGACGGTTGTCGCGAGGTACGATCGGCTGAGGCGAAATTCGAACGCCTCAAAATCTCTGCGAATCCCAACCCGTAGATTACACCGAGCACAGGTGGTTACTTTGTGCACGCGTGAAAGTCACTTACGTGTATCCGGTTTGCACTGAGAAAAAATGTTTGGTATTCGTAACTATTAGATGCTCGCAAAAGTTTTAGTCATTTTTATTTATTAATAACAATGAGATGTTACATAATATTTTAATCAAAGTTTTGGCCGTTGCTATCGATAATCTTTTGCCACCTTCGGGCAATAGTTAGATCCCGCATCAATAAAATGATTCATCTTTTGAGGTAATCTATTCATCGACTCATTTTCGCATTTCCTCAGCATTTCGGAAAATTCTTTTTTTGTGGCTGGAAAGCAATAGGAGACAGATGGTCGATTCGCAATCATGTTTGCAGAGAGTTAATGGGAAAGCCACATTTTCCTTCCTTTTGGATCTTTCCCATTGCTTTCAAATAGCAGGATACTGTTGATTCATCAATTCCAAGCTACTCTGCAAACTCTTTTAATATTTGGGCTGAATTTTAGTTGAGCAATGCTTCCAATTCATTACCCTCCATCTCGTTTGAACGACTAGAACGTGGCTTGTCATTGATATCGTAATCACCATTTTTAAACCTTTTGAACTACTTCTCATAACCAGAACCGAACACAATATTTTCTCTACAGGTTTCACAAATCAGTTTTTTAGTTTTTGCAGCAGTTTTACCTCGATTAAAATGTTAAAGTATGCAGTGGTGGGAACGTTATCTGGTTCCATTCTCAATCGCGTTAAACGTAACGTTTTGTTTGCAATTATAAATTGTCAACCATCTTGAGTATAGCCAACATTTAAAAACTAAAAGCAACTTCAAGGAGAATCAATTATTAAGCCTGTGTTGTAGCCATCTATTTGTGACTTTATGAACTTTTGCAAACACCTAATATAATCACATGAAAAAATAGTCATTATAAATTTCAAGAACATCATTTGTACATTAAATTCTACTATAATGTTAATGATAATAACCTTATATACATGTTATATACGTTTTACTACAAAAAATATGGCTGGGA